TAACAGAAAGGCCCAGAAGAAAGTGTGGTTTTTCAGAGAGGACAAGGGACAGCATTTCTAAAGAGAGAGAAGTTGGTAGGTGCCCAGTGATTCTGAGAGGTCAAGAAAAATAATCAAAACTAGGCGTTAGATTTGGTGACACATGGGAAAACTGTGTTCTTAGAGAGGGGAAATGAATGTCAAAGGCAGAAAACAGACCGTGTATTGTCAAGCACAAAATAGAAAACACGTGTGTATGTATGTCTGCGTTTGGCCGGGGATTGAACCCAGGGATGCTCCACCATTGAGCTATATCCCCAGTGTTTTTTGTTTGTTTGTTTGTTTTGTTGTTTTGTTGTTGTTGTTGTTTTTTCAATTATCCAGGCTGGCCTCGAATTTGTAATTCTCCTGCCTCAGCCTCCCCAATCGCTGGAATTACAGGCTTGTGCAATCGCACTGGGCGGAAAACACTTTTGAGCAGAAGAGCTATGAAGGTAAAGAAACAGAAGATGGGCCGGAGAAAACAAAAGGCTGGAATGGATCAAGAATGAGAGGAATTTTGTAACTCTTTAAATACTGACGAGACCAGAACAGTGAGAAGATAAAATAGGACGAGTAGAAAAAAAATCCCTGTCAGCGGGTGTATTTCTGACCCACCTAACCAACCAGATTTGCAAACTTCTGCGGTTTCAGTAGTTTTGAGCTTCAGGTCTCAGTTTTTATTGGTTTCTTTGGGCGATGGGTGATATTGAACTTCCTTCCTCTGCCTCTTTCCCCGCCCTACGCCTCCCGGTAAAATTCAGTGTCTATCTTTCTAAATTCTTCCGGGTTGCTGGGCAGGGCCACGCCCAGTCTCGACCCTGTCAGCTCCCAATTGGAGCGCGTTTTCCAAAATACGCATGCGCAGAGGGTCATGGTCGCGTCGAGGGAAGGAGGGGGAGCTTTAAATCTTGCGCAGGCGTGTTAGGATCTGATCGCTATGCGGGTGCTTGTGGGTGAGGGAGGGAAGAAACGGAGAGTGGGGGGCGGCTTACCAGAGATGGAGGGTTGGGAGGCCTTGCCGAAAGGGCACAGTTTCCTCCACAAGCAACCTGACCTTAGTCTCCTAACCCGAAAAGCCAAACCTCCCTGACCCCTGTGACCTGTGTCTCCTGTCTCGAGGGGAGAGGAGGGGAAGCAAAGCATCAGCCTTCATCCCCGAGGCATAAACAGTTTGTGTTCTCTGATCAGGTGGTGGAACGGGCTTCGTTGGAACAGCCCTAACCCAGCTGCTGAAAGCCAGAGGCCACGAAGTGACATTGGTCTCCCGACAGCCCAGACCGGGTCGGATCACGTGGGTATGCCCAACCCCTAGAAACTGGGTAGGGAGGCAGTTTGTCAGCACTGGGCGGGGCCCGCAGGCACTGTGAGCTTTTCTCTGACAGGATGAGCTTGCTAGATCTGGGCTGCCCAGCTGTGATGTCGCTGTCAACCTGGCCGGAGAGAACATCCTCAACCCTCTCCGAAGGTCAGTTGGGGGCCCTAAAACAAATAAAATATCCCCAGAGTAGAAAGAAGAGAAGGTACAAAGGAACCCTGTAAGCTGGAACTAATGGAGCTGTCAGAATAAGAACTGAAGATATACTATTCATCCCATCCCACCCCATCCGTCTATGCCCACCTGCTCCCCTACCCAGTCAGCCAGTTGATTTAAGTTCTCACGTATAAAATGCCCAAGGAAGATATGTCTTTTCCACTTTCAGTACACATGAACCATTTTTCTTTAGCCACATGCAGGATTTTACTAGAAATTGGTATAGAATAAGTCCCAGAGACAGAGAGGGGAAGATGTGTGTATGTATTTAGTGGCTTTTCATTTCCTCTTATTTTTCCTGCAGGTGGAATGAAGCTTTCCAAAAAGATGTTCTCAGCAGCCGCCTGGAGACCACCCAAATGCTAGCTAAAGCCATCACCAAAGCCCCACAACCCCCCAAAGCCTGGATCTTAGTCACAGGTGTAGGTATGCCCCTAAATTACCAACCTTTTACATTAGCCAAGGGAAATGGGGTGCAGATTAAGAGGGTAGCTCAGCCCTTATAGCTGTATACACCTTGGAGAGCTGCTCATTCCCAGATATGGTAAATTCTAGGCCCTGGATCCATGCATGTTTCTCCTGACCTGTGTCCTTTCACTGAGAAATGAAGAATCTCAGAGAAAGAGGGGGAGTGATACCACTCCTAAGGCCAAGGAAAAGCCCACCTCCTCCCAAGTCCCTTGCTTTTCATACCACAGTTCTTTAGGAAGAGCTCTTGACTGTTGTATTTCATTATACATACATACCAGCCACGATTCTAAGTGTTTTATACATATTACATTGTTAATCCTCACAACAACCCTATGAGGTAGGTACTATTATTTCCACTTTTAAAGATGCAGAAATTCCATACAGAGAGGTTAAATAATTTGTCAAAAGTCAGAGCTGAATTAAAACTCAGGCAGTCCCATGTATTCTATTCTTAACCACTATTATGCTAGCAGCCTCTGAGAGTAGCCCTGCAACCAAAGTTGAGAGTTCTTCCAAGCAGGACCAAGTCAGGTCATAAAGAAGCTCAAGGGGAAGGTATCCATGGCTTTCTTCTCATGGGGTCTAATAGGAGAGGCCAAGTGGAGTCTTGGCTGCCTAGTCTAGGACTAGGCAGGAAAAAGACAACCAGAACAAATAAGTGCTTTCCAACAGCTTACTACCGTCCCAGCCTGACTGCAGAGTATGATGAGGACAGCCCAGGAGGGGATTTTGACTTTTTCTCCAACCTCGTAACCAAATGGGAAGCTGCAGCCAGGCTTCCTGGAGATTCTACACGCCAGGTGGTGGTACGCTCTGGTGAGAACCAAGGGCCTGGGTCCCAGACAGGGTGGAATGGCTTTTCTAGGCTGTGGGTAGGGAGGATATCCAAGGAGCTAAATTTACAAAGAGAGTATGCCATCACTCTCATCAGTCTGCGGAGGGGAGAGTAGAAAGTCTAAGGAGAGCCATAACCCTCAACTCTTATTATAGAACTGGGTCCACACGGGGAGTAAAGAAGGGAAAACTGAGAAATGGGAACAGCATTCAGGCTGCTTCAAGGCTAAAAGGACTCCCTATACCATCTCTCTTGCCTGTTCTAGGGGTTGTGCTAGGCCGTGGAGGTGGTGCCATCGGCCACATGCTACTGCCCTTCCGCCTGGGTTTGGGGGGCCCCATCGGCTCAGGCAACCAGTTCTTCCCCTGGATTCACATCCAGGACCTGGCAGGAATCCTAACCCATGCCCTTGAAGTAAATCACGTGCAGGGCATCCTGAATGGAGTGGCTCCAGCCTCCACAACCACCAATGCTGAGTTTGCCCAGGCCTTGGGCACTGCCCTGGGCCGCCCAGCCTTTATCCCTCTCCCTGCCACTGTGGTGAGAGCTGTCTTTGGGCAAGAGCGTGCCATCATGCTGCTAGAGGGCCAGAAGGTAGTTCCGCGGCGAACACTGGCCACTGGCTACCAGTATTCCTTCCCAGAGCTTGGGGCCGCCTTGAAGGAAATTGTAGCCTAAGTAGGGAGGTGCATAGCAGGGGCAGAAGCCCATCTCTCAGCAGAGGCTTCCTGTGAATTGGCTCAGATGGTCCTCTACTTGAGATTAAAAACTGATCTGGATCTTAAGAGATTTTGTTCCCATTCTTCTTTCTTCTCCATTGTTCTTGCACCTTGTTTAATTGAGAAACTCTCCACAGTTTCAAGATTATAATCTCATCAAGATAGGACCTTAACTTTTTCCACTCCTTGTAAAAGAATTTCCAAGTTTGGTTTATGTGCTACATTGTTGTCCCAGTTCTGTGTAGAAAATGTTCTATAGTTTTGGCAATAAAGATAAATTATCTCTCTATCTTCTGGCTCATATCTTTGACCTAGATTCTCCTGGAATTTATTTCAAGGACTGTCACCCCAGATGATTCATTTCTCTACATAGAGTTTTGAAAGTTATAATAGGCAACATCTCTCCTCACCTTTTCTCTTCTTGGTCCCTCAGTAACCAAAAGACCGGGTCACAGTTCTGGGGCATGAAATTATGATGAAAGTAGAGATTAGAAGACAAGAGAAATAATAATCCATTTCCAGTGAGTTTTGTGGTCATCCTGCACACCCATTCAGAGTGCCATTAGGATGCCAGCAGAGGAAGAAATGAAGCCCCATTGTAGGGCAACCTCCAACCTGTGTCATCAAATGCTGCATTAATAAAAGCAATCACATGTTGGTCCCAATTTATCAAACTGCAGTAGAACACGAAGCCTAGGATTTGCCTTTCAACTAATGGGGGCCACTTCATTCTACCAAGGCCTTCAGCACAAAAGGGTAGAAAATACTTCTGTTCTCTGGGTATTCTCACAGTCAYAGAAAGTAAAAAGGGCAGAGAACCAATCACAAACAACAAACTTGACCCTATTAGGAAGAAGTAAATCCCAAGTGTTCATCTAGTATCCTTCTAATCTACCTGAATTTGTGATATCTGCCACAGCTTAACCAGAAGTAATCCTCCCAGCTCCCAGTTTGGACCATATTAACCCATCATCTCCTTTCTTCCCAGGGCACTGTAGATTGTCTGAGTCATTGTTACTTCCCTAACTTCCCTGCACAGGTTAGGGAGCCATGCAGCCACAGGGAGACACACCCTAGATTTTGTCTAAATACTTTTTTCTCCAAAGAGCTTTCCTCCATGATCTCATTTCTCCTCCCAACAGGTAGTTTACTTCTGATTTACAGGCCAAGGTCTCCAACATACCTGCTCCTAGCATGAGTCAATACAGTCTAGGGATATAAATCACCACTGGGGACACAGGCAGACACTGCAGCCTCCTAGGGACCCTTCTCCCTCATTCTGCTCCCCATGCAGTACACAACTTCCTGTGCCAGTCAGGAAAGCAGAGGAGTGAGCCTGAAAAGGTTCTTATTCAGGGAGACTGGGGGCCCAAACAAACAGAACTCAGGGTAACTGTCTTATCTTTTTATTTGGTCTTGGACTCTAGGAAAGTTGACTATTATTCCTGGGGGAAGGAGCAGTAACATAAAAGCATAGTTTAGGCTACACTAGAAGTCAGACTACTGATTAATACTGTCCCCAGGAGGAATGTACTGCCTTGCTGGGAGAAAATGCCCCAGAAGAAGAATTCAAACAGACACAAGGCACTGTCCTGTGGGAATCAGGATGGAAAGAACATGTTATGATGGACAGTGGGTTTGGTCTTGTGGCCAATCAGATCCTTCCAACTCTGATTCTTCAGTTTTCATTTTCTAGATAATTGGTTCATCTAATAAAACTTTCATAGCCCTCCCACCTCCACACATACACCAAACAG